ACTAAATTTTTGCGAACCTAATTCGAGACTCGCTAAAAAAAAACAATAATTATACAAATTCAAAGAGATTGAAAGGGCGACTATTAGTAACTAATATACGATTGTGTGTACAGAATCACAATCTCCCTCAGTGAAACACAATAATTTTAGCTACTAAAAAGTTCTTGGAACATAGTAACGTGTTTTCGAAAGCCTCTTCATAGCCATCAAAATTATAATATTTAGGATGGTTTGGTATTTTTATTTTTTTCATGCATCTACCTTATGACTTGAAAAAAAAAATAGCTACACATAAGACATTCAAAATCTAAAAACTTTTAAACTCTCTCTAATGTGATATCAGTTAATTTCTTGTAATGAGATCATAAGCTCTCTCTAGTGTGATATTATTTAATTTTTTGAATTAATCAACTCTTTAATACACACATCTCCAGAATCATATTGACTTTGATTTCAAAAAAAAATTATTTTCCGTCATTTTTTTGTATCATTTTCCTTGTTTTGCAACTCAGTGGTGTTGAATGCATAAGTTTTTGATGGTACTAACGAAAAATATTAAGTAACTTCTTATCGTATGAACTCAATCACTAACTTACTCATGAGAAGAACGATAATTATACAAATTCATGGAGATAGAGAACCTTTATAATTGTACTTTACGATTAAGTTAGTTCCAAACAAATGGATGTACAGATGCGAATCGATTTGTTCACATATTTAGCATCACATTTCTACTAGTATGAATATATGATGATAAAAAAATATTAGTATATGTTGACAGAAAGTTATGTCTTGCATTTTTTCATGAAAAATTAATTTGTGATGAATGGTTGTGAATCCGTAGCAATGAATTTGTGACGATTGGTCTTACTACTTTTCCTCATGGGAAAGCTAAAGGAAGTGGTCGCAGTGATTCTTTAGGTTTTTGTATTTCAAGATAACTAGGACTTCACTTCCATCAAAAAAATATACAATTTTTTTCTTTCATGAAAGGTTTAAATCCATCACAAATGTGAGAAAAGAGTTAGTACTTAAGAATGAAGAGAGCACAGAGGTACCAAAAGTGTGGTATGTACAACTGATGGAAGCTACTTGAGATTGTATCAACATATGGTCGAAAGTCTATCTCCTTGCTTAATGAGTGTGATATGGTTGATTGGACTAACTCTTTGGAAGTTTCGTTTATTTCAGTTTTTCATGTCACTAGTCCGCAGGATGAAGAGCGTCTCCTACGCTGGATTCACCTATGAACACCGAAGAAGTTGCAAGAAACAAATGCTTTCACTGGAAAAGCTATTTTGGATAACTAAAGTTGGAGGAAGAAAAAAATTATACTTTTGGTGTGAAAAGGTGAGTGAGATCTATTTTTTCAACACAAATTATTAGTTTTTCGAATATAGTGAATTGTGTCTAAGATAGTTTTCTAGTAATTTTTGGTGCAATAATATACGAAATATCATCTAATTACATACAATAGTAAAACTATCTGGTCACACAAATAACATTAATTTAATTAAATTTTCATCTATTCATTTCTTTTGTTATATATAAAAATAATATATACTCCGTTAAATATTAAAGTTATTACCAATTATAATATTAAATATTTGAATAATGTATTATAAATTGTGTATATTTTAAAAATGAATAATACTTTAAATTATTTTCTGAAATTGCTCCTAATTTGTTTGACCGTGACCCAAATTCTGGTGTACATATCAGTCTAATTCCGGAGAGACAATGTAAACCACCTTTTAGGAAAGAAAAGTGGAAACAAACGTTGAAAAAGTTTCAAAACTAGAATTTGAATTTCATATAGAAAAGAGTAAAAAAAATTAGAAGGCATTGTAATTAAAGGTGATTCGGTAGTAGGTGGACACATTAAAGTTTCAAAAGATATCATCATTCCAAATGTTCAAATATAAGAATCTTAATCACAAAAACACTCGAAACACTAAAAAGGATTGAAATAAAAAAATTTAAATTCCCTACAAGTACTCTGAATCACAAAAACACTCGAAACAAGAGGCAGAGTTACAAAAAACAAACACTATTACATATGTGTTTCTTCTACTATACAATAAACCTCAAAAGTCATAATCATCATCATCAAAACAGGCAACGTCTAGAGATGAATCATGATTTGTGGAGAAATACAATGCAATTTCTAACTTAAAGAAAATAAAACAATTAAAATCCTTACAATTACTAACACCATTAGGCCTTAAGAGGCTTTGTAGAATTGGCAAATTTTCTCTTGAGGACAATGACCCAAGTAAACAACTTCCAAGAGTAAAGTGATGCCTCCTAATGTCCCAATCACCGTGATATAAACGAATAAGAAGCTCTCGTGGGAGCAGCTACAAAGGTTTTTTCTTGAACCAGTCTTGCATAAGGAGGTGGTGGGGAGAAGAGATCCTTGCATCTTAACGAGTGGATTGATTTTTGCGACACATAAGTTTGGTTGCTTAGGTCTTCGCTCGTTTCTGTAGCGCAAAAAATGGTTGATTGAAAACGCTATCCGAAGTAGAAAATGTTTTTTAAATTGTCCCTGGGACCAGTTCCGACCCAAAAAAAAACTAAAGCCCTTGGGGAAAATAAGGTTGTGGCCTTTTCTCAATAAAAAAATATTTTTTAAATTAACTTTTTTTATAAGTTGTGGTTTTTATTTTGAAATTATAATTTTCTAAATTTTGGGCGTTTTCAAAAAAAAAAGTAAAACTTGGGCTCTTCTAGCCCTACATTTTGAATTTATTGTAATTTTATTTGGAAGAGTTAGTCGATCATGGCTCTTGGGACCCCTACAACTGTGCACTGCCTCCGCCTCTGTCTTGGGTCATCGTATTCTTGCCCACTTCTTTTGGGCCGATTCTGCTGAAGATAAATTTGAGGATTCATGATATCTTTGGCAGTCTAGAGAGAGGAACCCGCTGAAAAGTTTTGAGAGAGGCTTGACAACACAACGACAGAAGACTTGGATCTTTTTATACAACTATATGAATTCTGACGGTTGTTTTAAAATTGTTAAGATAAAAATATGTTAATTGTTTTTGTCGTTGTTTATTTTTTTGTTTGTTATTGTATAGTTAAATAAAATTAGACTCATCTTATGAACTTACAATTTTTATGGTTAGATTCGTTTTTGACTCTAACTATCAATTTATACACTTTCATGTATAATCTGATTATTTTTATATCTAAGATTTTAATATTAGTTCACTATCATGAATACATACAACAAAATATAAGATATTTTGTTCTCAAGAGTTTTCGTATGAAAAAAAAGAAAAAGAAAGACAAAATTAAAGAGTTATTTAAGTAACACTTTAAAATTTTATGCTATTGCATATAGCCATATAAGAGAAATGAATTTGTCTTGAATTTTTTTGGTATGTCTAACGTCTTAAAAACTCATTACTTGAAAAAAATTGCATGTCAATTTTACGAACTTACCATAAGACACAGAAATGAAAAGAGAGAATGTCATATGATAAGATATGAACTATAACGTAATAATAAGAAAATATTCAAGGTAAAATTACTAAACTAATAAGATATTAGGTAGCAAACAACTAAACTGTAACACAAATAATTATTTAGTCATGATCGAGTGATGATAATTGACCATTAATTTAAAAAATTAGAAAAATAATAAAAGTAAAATGAAAAGTGATTGATTTATTAAAATAATTTTATAATTTTATTTTTATTTTGAAGAAATCATTTAAAAATGGGATTAATGGAGGATTTAACACAATATGAGACTTTTAATTTTCCTCAACTAATTTTCTGATTTTTTAAATTTAAATAATGGTGAATGACACATGTCATTTTTGTGTGTGATGATGTGACACTCATATGAAGAGAGTTGTCCAACTTTCATATATATGATTAGTATAGGCTTAAATTTAAAACTTTGACCTTTGTCTGCAAAATGTGTTTATATTGGGCTCCATATTTACAGTTTTACACTACTGCATGTATTAAAAATTTATAAGTTAGCAATATTGTGATATTTACAACACATATGTAAAATATGTTTGCATGCAGGATATATTCATATATATTATATAGAGTAGATTGGTATTTGTGTTTTCAATTTATAAATAAACAAACTAAATTTTTCAAATTGTATATGCTCATATTTAATAATCTAATAATATTCAAAGTCATTACAATTTTCTTAAATATTTCTCCATTGTTTACGTTTTATTGTGGTTTAACAATACATAATGTAATTTTAGTATTTTTCATAAACTTCATGTCCCCGCTTATACCATGCAGACCGCCTAGTACATTTATATAGTATAATTTTGTGGATCCCACTTTGTAATCCTATGTTTTTATATATTTATTTTTTGATTTTGCAAATCATTTTTTTTTATTAATGATACCGATACCGGTTTCACCACTGGAAACATATTTATTATCAGTATCATAAAAAATCTCAAACAATAAACAAATGTTAAAATTAATACTAAAAAATTGTTAATGATACTCTATGAATACTAACTATGTGCATGCTCTAATATACCTTATTTTATGTGAAAAGGTGGAGCCAAACTCCCGATGATATATAGAAATGCCAGCCTGAAAAATCTTAGCCACTAGGAGTCTAGGATATATAAAAATGGTGGCTCTTGTAGCCTTTGCTGGGCTGCATCAAAAATATAAATGGTATAAATTAACACCATTAAGACTTTTTTAAAGAAAAAAGGGACGAAGTCAATGGATTTTTCAGTTTTTCCTAACCAGTTTGTAATTGGAAATTGATTCACGAACATTCCATTATGTCTCATCCTCATTATTTTTATTAACGGAGTTGTTTATAAGCATCAATATTAATTGCTATGGCACAACCATGGACGTGCTTAATTCAACAACATTATCTATTCATTTGTTGTCTTGTCCAACGACAAAACATATTGAAGGTACGGTTATAGAGTTTGTCTCATAATCTTTGAACTGTAAACTATAAATAAATTACTAACCTGTGTCGTTGGAACCTTCTCGATCCAACAAAGAAAAGCAATCTGGAGACTAAAACTCTGTGTGAAGCTGCAACAATGGGATCTCCATCAGAAATTGTGGAAATCTTGGACAAAGGGAAGCAACCTTGCAAGGAAGATACAAGAGTAGATATTGTAGGGCCAAGCAGGTTACCTAAACAAGATCCTAAGCTTATCCCACTGCGTAATGCCCGGGATCAAATTTCATGTGATGGTATGAAACACTCCATATAAACTCTCTTGATTGGTTCCAGCTTTTGTGTTTGTTTGTTAGATCTTGTGTGGGTTCTCATTGTTTTGTTTTTCAGATAGACGAAGACTCCAGTACCTAACTACATGTGTTCCGCTATATCAAGCTGCTATGAAAGGAGACTGGAAAGCAGCCAAACCTATAATCGATATTCAAGAAGATATTGTCATTGCAACCATTACAAATAATTTAGAGATTGCTCTTCACATTGCTGTTGCAGCAAAACACAAAGTTTTTGTGAGACATCTACTTGAGAGGATGAACTCCCATGACTTGGCCTTGCAAAACAAGCATGGCAACACAGCCTTATGTTTTGCTGCTGCATCAGGAGTTATTGAGATTGCTGAAATGTTGATAGACAAGAATCCAAATCTTCCGATGATTCGTGGTGGTGGAGAAATGATTCCAATCCACATGGCTTCTTTGTTCGGGCATGGAGATATGGTCAAATACCTTTACTGCAAAACAGACTTCAGCAATCTAAGTCAATTGGAGTGTATAAACCTATTTCACTCCATCATATCAGCTGATATATATGGTATATATCTAAATTTTTGTTATTCTTTTATGTAAAATTTTGCCATGTTCTCATCAGACGCAATTGTAGATGTTGCTCTAACAATGTTAAAGGAGAAGGAAGCACTCGCCTTTTCTCGAAATGGTGCAGGGGAGACAGCTTTGCATTTGATGGCTCGCAAGCCTTCAGCAATTGCCCATAAAAGACAGCTAAACTTTTTTAAAAGTATAGCAAATTCTAGTAAGTTGGCAAACATTTTATATGCACATGTCTTTAGCCTAAACTCAAACTAATATCAAGGCATTTTTTAGTGTGGAATCACAGTGGATGAAACTTGATTCAATTAAAATCTAACATGTCAACTGACAAAAACATTTTCTCTTTAGTTTTCAAGGGATTCTTTCATGGAGCCAAAATGCAAACTTTAGCTCATCAACTTGTCCATGAATTATGGAAATCGGTTGTACAATTACCAGTGGGAAAGCTTTGGGAATTTTTGGGGTCACCTTCAAGGCTACTCTTTGAAGCTGCAAAATCGGGAAATGTTGAGTTTTTGGTTATTCTTATTCGCTCTTATCCAGATCTTATATGGAAGGTCGATGATAGGAATCGAAGCTTATTCCACGTTGCTGCTTTAAATCGTCATGAAAGCATATTTGATATTGTCTATGAACTTGGGGCCATCAAGGATTTGATAGTAGCATATAAAGAAGATACATCAAAAAATAACTTGTTACATCTTGTGGCACGTTTACCTCCTCCAAATCGACTACAAGTTGTTTCAGGAGCAGCACTTCAGATGCAAAGAGAGCTCCTTTGGTTCAAGGTAAGAATAACACACTTCAACATTAGCGGTAATATAATCGCTTTTCCAATTCTATCTGGGAGATGCCCTTACAAACCTTCTAATCACATTTTAGGCAGTTAAGAAGATAGTTCCCCGTTCATATATCAAAACAAAAAACAATGATGGTGAGATTGCACATGATCTATTTACAAAAGAACACGATAACTTACGCAAAGAAGGAGAGAAATGGATGAAAGAAACTGCGACATCATGTATGCTTGTAGCAACGCTGATAGCGACTGTAGTCTTTGCAGCAGCCTTTACCGTACCAGGTGGAAACAATGAAGCAAACGGCTTCCCTAAATTTGGAAAAAAGTTATGGTTTGACATGTTTATCTTATCAAATTCGGTTGCCCTTTTTTCATCTGTGACATCTATTGTGATATTCTTGTCGATCCTAACTTCTCGGTATGCAGAAGATGATTTTTGTACAGCCTTACCATTAAAACTTATGTTAGGACTTCTAGCATTGTTTGTATCCATTATCTCCATGGTTCTTGCCTTCACCTCAACAATGATCCTAATCCGCTACCAGGAACCTAAGTATAGCTTAATCCTCATCATTTCCCTTGCTTTGCTCACGGCCCTCTCCTTTGTTACGTTGCATATTCATCTCTGGGTAGACACTCTACGCTCATGTTTGTTCAAGTTTCTCTTCAAGCAACGTAAAAGTGGCATATACTCCTAAAACCATATTAATGTGATATGTAAAAGCTATGAAAGGTTGTTAAAGTTTTGTATTTTCTGTTTTGATCCCATAATTTTCTTAAAGCGATGTTCTTTTGTATGCAATTGTTAATCAATTACTTTTTTAGTGGGAACTCTGAGTTTCAGACATGATTAGGAATGCCAAAGTCGTGACTATATTGGTTGTAGTCAACTAAGTTTGAGTCATATTTAGGAACCAGAGGTCGATAACTCGACTCGAAATTTATTCTGAAAAATTCCAAGAGATCACAGGATCGAGTGGCAGTTGGTACGGATAAAAATACTAAAGACTGGCCCGGACCTAGGGATATGTTTGAGATTCGACCTGGAACTCCCTAGTTTACGAATGAAAGAACAAAAAAATTGGTTGTGAACTGTGATTAGTAATGTCAAAGTCGTGAAAATGTTACTTGTGATTAGTAAGTCAATTTCACAATATATTCGAGGAATGAACAATCTCTCTTCCCATGAAGAACTTTTAACAACTTTGTTTGATGATGACATAAAATACAAAAAGTTATTTTTAAAGCTCTATTTACTTCAACTTTGTGAATTATGGTACATATGATTTGAATTTGTCGTGCAACTTGGATGTATTGCCTTACTTCTTGAGGAGAGTAATATGGGTGGATGTTTCTTGTTTATTTATGATAAGATAACAACAAGAAACAAAGTAATAGCATCCAAGAGGAAGTGATACATATTTAAGAGTTAATGTCTATCATAAATAACACGCTCAAGAAATAACATCACTTTTGTGGTTGAAAAGAAAGAAAGAAAAATATAGCATGACTTCAGGTAGCATCATTATGGTAGCAAAATTATAGGGAAAACGGTCTTTTTCAACCTCAACTATTTGCTGGCGGGTTTTTCCAATCCAAACTATGACCCCTAGTCGATTTCAACCCAAACCCAAAAATAATTCAAAATCGAAACCTGAAACTAATGCAAATGAGCCGATTTCAACACGACGCGAAACGGTGTTAGTTCGAAAGTTAACGGTTGCTCAACCTTCGGTAATTCTCTCTCTACAACATTCATCAAACCTTGAAAATAAAATCAAATAACCTTGAGAACTGTTAACTTCTGAACTAACATTGTTTCGCGTCGTGTTGAAATCTGCTCATTTACATTAGTTTATGTTTTGATTTTGAATTATTTTTGGGTTTGGATTGAAATCGACTGGGGGTCATAGTTTGGGTTGGAAAAACCCGCCAGCAAATAGTTGAGGTTGAAAAAGACCGTTTTCTCCAAAATTATATGAGGTACTAGTTTTCTTCTCTTGTAAAGACATGCAATTACAACAATAACAATTCACTAGTAAAAACATAAGAAACAAAAGCATTCTCTTCAACAAGAAGCACTGTTTATCATCCTAGGAACTGGGAAGAGACTAGTCTCACAGTGCTCTTAACAGATTCAGCTTGATTTAGTTTTTCCCTTCAACCTACATCTTGGAATCTCAAGTCACGTAGGTGGGGTTGCCATCAAGCCTCCTCTCAAGTCATAGGTTTTAAACGCATTCCTCTTGATGATTTTACAACTTGATCTCGTGACAAACCTCTAGTAAATGGATCCTAAGTTGTCATCCTATTTGATATAATCTATCGAGATCATACAAATTGAGATCAGTTGTCTAATGGTTTTATATCTTCTTAAAAGACATGATTAACCATTACACACAAAACTCAGTACCCGAACTATAGTCGATCGACTATCCCCGTTTACACGTTATGTCGGCACTAGTTTTTTTTTCCATGGAAATATTGTATTTACATGGATATCTGGAACATCTATGTATGAACCATAAACAGATAAACACTATCGCTATATCCATATCCAATGAGAATACAATTCACATTTTATGGTTTATATGTAACCCTTAGGAGGTGTTATTGCAACTTTTGCTAGGCACCCCCACACTTTAAGGTATTTATACAAATGTACTTTACCTTTCCAAAGTTTATATAGCATCTTGCCAATGACTTTATGTGGTAAGCAACGCTTCCCCCACATTTCACGAGACACCTTAGAGCATTGCAACATTATATTCATCATCTCTTTAAGAATTCAGAATTTTTGTTCAACTACTCCATTAGAGTCAGTTAATATAGAGAAGCTTTTCCGATGAATAATATGAGGTACACCAAAGACCACAAATAAGGATCAAAAACTCTCTCTTATTACTTAAAACTATTAAAATAGTTTTCTCACATTGGTTTTTTCATCTTTGCTATGTAGCAAAAACTATATACAAATATATTGTACAATCATCAATGAAAGTCACAAAATATTTTACCACCTCTAATTTCAAGAACTTTTAAATCATACAAAAAATGTATGAATTAAATCTAACTAGAGGTACGTTGTTCTTTCAACATGAGGTGATTTAGTGAGTTTGCCTCTACGCATACTTCACAATTGTCTTTGCTCGATTTGTATTTCAGAATTAGGTTCAAATTAATCAATCTCAAAAAAGATTTATAATTCACATGCCTAAAAATAAATACCAAATGTCAAAAGACCCATTTAAATAATAATAAAAACTGAATTTTTCTTATTAATTGAAACAACGAAACAATGGTTATAACTTATTTTGGGATGACTGTCATTACAATAATCTTGACCAGTCCATCCTTAACATAACCCTTGCCCACATACACGGATACACCTCATGTTTCTTGAACACAAGCTTGTTAGACTCGGAAAATAACAGCAAATCGTCCTTGCTCATAAGCGTACCGGAAATCAAATTCTTCCTCGGGTCTGATCATACTTGCCACGACAAACGTTAGCCTTGCAGCCCAACTTCACACACTTGTAAAACTTTCCAAAGAAATTCGAAGGAACCGTATGCTTTTTGAAGCTTGAGGAGGCTTTGGGAAGATTGTTATTCTTTCCCTTGCTCTTATGCTTGGCCATGTTCTCATTTGTCTCACGAATGTGACGACATTGAGATTCAACCTGCACCTTGACAATTAAGTCATCGAGGGAAATTGCTTTTTTCTTAAAGGATAGATTGTTTACGAAAACCAACCAACTTGGAGGGAGTTTCTCAATAAGATAGTTGACCATAAAAATGTCACTAATCAATATCCCTCCAGATGATATCTCATCCTTAAGCAATTGCAGCGCTTCCACTTGTTCCATGATGGGTTTTGAATCCACCATGTTAAGGTGGTCAGAAAGAAATACATCTTATGTCGCCACTCCTTAAACCCGTTCCCATCAAACTTTTTCGGCATCATTCCTACGCTTACAGCTAGACACTAACGGGTTCACATGTGGTGGACCACTCCCAAACTGAATTTGGGGCGTCGACTCACATAACCTGTTTCCAAAAGCATCACCTCCAACTATTCCATCATCAAACAGAGCACCAATGTTGTGACCGTCGATCAAAGCTTGGTAGTTGTTGTTAGACATACTTAATATTGTTTCTGTTCACGGATAAAAAAACACGAATTAGTATACAAAACAAAAACCAGAATTTCAAAGTTCAATGGATTATAAACTAAGCAATTTAAACAAATATGAAAAAATTGCAATCAATTATAAATACAAAATTTCTAGGATTCAATAAACCAGAAATTAACAATTTAATTATAAACCAGAGACTATAACCAACACAATTTAGACGATGAGAATAAATTGTAGGAAAAAATGAAACTTTTCCAGATTATGAATGCAAAATCAAAAGCAACCTAAACCATTTACGAATCAGTAAAAATATCGAGGTCTTAGGCAAGAGTAGTAACACGTTTTCCACCAAACGATTAAACAAATTCAGTCACAAATCACTTTTTGATTTCTTTTGTTAACTCATTAACAAAACGACCATATCAAGGAATAAAGAATTTAACAATGCAATTCAATATATAATTGAAAATGCTCCAAACGTTTGGTAACAAACAAAAACCAAACCAGAGCAAAAAACCAAAGCGACTCAGGCCCTGTTCGTTTGTCTGTCGCTGAATTTATTTTAATTTAGATTATATATAATTTGATTTATTTGAATATAATTGAATTTAACTTATTTTGATTTTGTATAAATTTATTTAGTTAAGTTTAGTTTTGATTATATTTAATTTAGTTTAGTTTAATTTAATTTATTTTTGATTATTTTTTTAATTTATATTTTTTGATCGCTAAGTTGTTCGTTTGCCTGTCGCTGGATTCAGCGATCGAAACCAGCGACTGATTGCTGAAACCAGCGATTGATCGCTGAAAATTTCAGCGACTGAAATTGCGGTCGCTGGTCACTGGCGACTGTCGCTGCAATTGGTCGTTAAACCAGCGACAAATAAACGAACAATTTTTAGTCGTTGTCGCTGGTTTCAGTCGCCAGTGACAAGCAAACGAACAGGACCTCAGCAAGACGAAACTAACGACACATGCTTTTGAACCAATTCAAACACATCAGTTACGGAACATGGAATGAACGTAACAACGCAACACAATAATTTGCTCAATGATGAAAGTGAATATAATAATCCTTCTTCTTCCTCACAAGCTAAACGAGTGGGAAAAAAGCAACAGCAACTCTATATCAAATAAGAAACATAGTTATTCACTTCATAAAAAATTAGCAAAATTATAGCAAATCACGACCGAAACAATAAACCAGCAATCCAAAGTAGATTAATCACATAACCAAACAGAAACTGGTTTTCTCCGATCAACGAACACCTGCTCTTACAAAACTTTTACAAATATCAGATCGGTCGTTAGTGCAAAAAGCAATAAACGAATTTTTTGAGTTAAGAATGTAGATCATCAAAGTTCTCGACTCTGTTTACCACCGTCAATCTCCATTTCTCAATCATCTTTTTGGTATTGTTGATTTTCGATACTTGTTCTGTGTTAGTTACTTTACAAAAATTAGATTGTGCCCCTGTTGAAATATTCAGGTCCAACATTTTATACTATGTTTTCTTTTATCTCATCCATGTTCCTATATTCAAGTTAAAGCTAAATACAAACATATTTATTATAAACCCAACAAAAATTGTTTCCTCTTTATCCTTTCTCTAAAACAAAGGAAGTAGTCAATTGTTATGCTCTGTAGTAGAAGACTACAAGTAATGGCTATTGTACAAGGTCAAATTA